GGAGCAGATCGGGACCTTCAGGATATTCATATATATATGTTTTGGACTGTATAACTATAACTTTCGCTTCCGCTTACTTTTGACGATCTTTTGACGATGTTTTGATACATCTTGTCGAATTTATCGTATTTTGACGAACTTTTCAGAAAACACAGTTTTTCAGTAACCGGACGTTTTTAATAAGTTAAAACAACGGTTTTCTAAAGTTAAGTAACAATTTTCACGGTAGCACCCCAAATCAGTTTCGCAAAGTAAAAATGTTTTAGTTTTCAAAGACTTTGCGAATAAATGCGCAACTCTGATTTATCTAGTAAGATGGGGTGTTACAAATCGGGGATAATTGCTTTCGGTTCTAACACAACTACCGGCAATCAATTGCTCGGTTAAAGGGCTTGAATCGTTTCTCGTCCAGAGGCTCACTCTCAATAACTCTTCGTAACAAGAGAGTGAATGTACACGATCAACTATCAATTCCAACAACTTATAGACAATACTATTACGAACAAGTCTACTCTAAACAAGCCTATATCGACCAACGTCTCCCCTCTCGGTTCTACACGTTGATTAATTAGGTTTGGAAGGTGATCAATCTACTAACCCTAGAATAAGAGCAACTTGAATAAATATAAACAATTAAGAACAAGCAATTATAATTGAACCTAATCAATCATCCCTTATCCCTAGCGTATGGATTTAGCTACTCATATGGAATTCAACATCAATATTCATACAAACCCAAGCCATCATCATCAATCACACAATTGAGAAAAGAAGAACTTACGATTAATGTAATAGTTCAATGTCAAACCCACAAGCATCCAAATCTAAAGCAAGAAAATAGAGTTTCAATCTCCAAAATCAAATCCGTAGAGCAAAAAGATCCAAAGGAATGAGTTTCTAGAGAGGAAAAACGTAAAAACTAAGTCTGGGAGGTGAATAATCATGACTAGGTCGAAATTTTAATATTAAAAACCGCGCCTCGAAATTCACGTCGATCAAGTCACGAGTTGCGATATAAGTCGCGAGTCGCGGCTTCCGCTTTTACCGAGTCGCGAGTCGCGACATCTCGCGAGTCGCGCGTCTTCGAAAATATTTAAAATCTGGGGTAAATCGCGCCAAGTCTCACGAGTCGCGACATCATCTTGCGAGTCGCGACATAGACTCGCGAGTCGTGACTCATCTCGCGAGAATCTTGAATCGGCTCTGTTGAACTCGCGAGTCGTGAACTTCTCACGAGTCGCGACCATCTCGCGAGTCGCGACTTTGACTCGCGAGTCGCGAGAAATGCTGGGCAGCTCTTCAGTCTGTTTTTCTGGTCCTTCCTTCAGTGTTCTGGGCACGACTATGGGTATTCTTGATTTCCCGGTCTCAGCTCTAGCAGTCTCATCCTTGGCCGACACAACCTACCTCCTGAAAACACAAACACGGAGAAAACACGAAGCAAAACACAGCAAATAGACGCACAAAACGAAACTAAAGAGAAAAAGGAAAACCACAGAATTGGACCAAATAAACTACGAAAATCATATAAGTGGGGAAAAATAAAAAGAAAATAAACCCAAAATAAAGACACAAAAATGGGACAAACACTTAACATAAAGCTTATACTTATCGATGAAATAACTTGAAAATTCAGTATTTTAATACTAAACGGTAGACTTGATCTGAACTGGAGAGTCATCAATTCACTATGAATTGTTGATTACTGCTGGCTAAGAATGGACACTTTTCTGAAATAAAGTGTTCCACTGAATATACATGTCCTTAAAATTATAATTCTTAAGCGTATTGGTCATCACCTCCTAGTTGATTGCCGATCTTCGATCTAGACTTTGGTTGTGAAACCTAAGTCGTGTAGCACACATGGAAGACTTCGGAGATACGCATATGTACAAATGAGGATAACTAGCAATCTTAGCAATTACCTTTCATGAACGTCTACTCGATAACGCGGCACATCGTTCGCGACACATTGCAATGCAGCACACCTGCTCCTCATCAAGTGAGTGCGGCACGTCTGCATGCAGCACCTGGCGAACATTGCACCTGCGACGTTGACGTAGTCTGTATACCTGATCATATCTGTATCTCAAGCTAGTAACCTCAATGTACTATAATGCTAACTCTCCATGATCTCCCAGTGTACTGTGACTCAGGCATGGCATCCTTCTCTTTTCGCGACATGCATCCTTGAATGGAAAGCCTTGGTTTATCTCCACGGCATTGTCTATTGTTGTTGATTGGCCCTTCTCCGTTGTGTTGTATGTCAAAATGTTGTACCTGCAACTGTTTAGCTTCCTGAGGCCAAATTTAGCCTCAAGAAAAGTCTACCATGAACTAATCTTTCATGCGATTTCCCAAATTTTCAGAATTTGAGAATCGAGGCACTGGATATATCGATAAGTCTTGTCTTATTAGACAGACCATTCTCGACTTTGACATGACTAGCCTTAATATTCACATAACTGGATTATCTTGACTTGACTTTTACATGACTATAAAACACTTACTTGAGCTCTGGAAGCTATCCTGAGACAATTAAATGGGTCATCGCGAAATTTGGAACATGGCATTTACTGACTTGTTGTGGCTTGATAAGGTGCGACTTCAAGTTTCCAGGTAAATTTGGACCAATAGTCTGTATTTGAGACCTCCACATTTAACCCGACTTAACAACTATTATACGTCGACCTTAACTCACGAACATTGACCTTAAATCATGAACATTGACTCATGAATATGTACTATATAGGGCTGCTCCAGTGTCAACTGGTCCCGCAAGTATAGAAGAAATAACTGATCTTGAGCAATGAAACCCATAACTTGGAACATCATGACTGGTAAAATACATGACATAACTGACTTTAAGGGTTGTTATTACATGAAATCATATTGTTCTGTTCCAGCTTCAAGCCTCCATGATATACCCGGCTGAATGGCTCTTATTTCAAGCCTCCATGGTAACCCGGAACATTGACTCTTATACACTGGATACCGTCATCTTTAATAATGGCCTTAAGAATTATAACAACCTCTAGCATGAAAAGTTAACCCTGAACTTGATTTACTAGTTTGAATTAGGAAATTTGAGTCTATTCCCTGAGTTGAATCAAGGAATTCCTCCTTGAAATTTGCCAATTGGTTGGCAAAAATGGGCAATTTTGATAGAAAAATGTCTGAGAAACATGATTTCTAAGATTTGTACAACATAAATCTCCTGACGAGTCGCTTAACATGGCTGGGAATTACTGACATTAAATAATGAATACACTGAAATATGAATCCTGAACATGATTCGAGCATCATAACTGTGGTTTGCTGAGCATAGACATAGTAATTTGTTTATAACTTAAAAACATGAATCAGCACTTACCTGTAGTCGGAGAGGCGTGAGCGTGACGTGTTCAGGTTTTTGAAAAGTTTCTGACTTGTAGAAATTTTTCAGAGACACAGAAACGTGCTCTGATACCAACTGTAACACCCTGCTATTTCATAAATATCAGAGTACGTCTTTCGCAAAGTTTTTCAAAATAAAAACATTTATTTTGCAAAATACTGATTCGGAGTGCTACCATAAAACATGACTTTATCTGAAAACTATTATTTTAGTTTCAAAGAAAAAAAAAGGTTAACATAACATTTTAACCGACTGGAAGTCGGATCAAATGATAAGTTCGACAAATAGTCATAATCAGCGGAAAAACGTAGCGTCGCCAAAACATTTTAAACATGAAATCAAAGCCCTGAACCGACCGCCAGCTCACTCCTCGGCTCCGACCCTGTGACCTGAAAAACATGAATAATGTGGGGCGTGAGCACTAAATCCACTATGCCCCGCAGAAACTCATACTAAAGTAAACAGTGAAAATAATTACAATAACATGATCCTGGCATATATAACTGAACTGAACTGAAACCGGTACTGAATAATCATGATCTGATACTGATGTCGTGATAATCATCACATGCCTGATACCTGAACATCTGCCAGCATAAATGTCGGACACCATGTGCACACTCTAGTGGGCAGACTAAGGCCACTAGAACCCAGAATGGACCGGCGACCATTCCGAGTTGATATTGATAATACATACCTCAAACATGGTAGAGTAATTATAATCAATGTAATACCCAGTCAGAGTCCCCACCTGATCCGTCGAAATAAAAAGGCAGTGCTGATATTTGAAGCCTGATCAAACTGAAACATAATATAAACAATTACTAAGTATTATGCTCAGACAGATAAAAATAGATGTTTAATATGTTAAGATGCTCTACTAGACTTGACATGATATTTGGACTGAACTGGCATGATCGGAACTGATTTAATATGGAATTGAACTAATATGAATTTACTAAACTGAACCGGGCTCGAAGTTTAACTGAAAATAAGACTTAAACATGGAACGGGACTTAAATTAATAAAATAAAGGTTGAACCGTTCTTAACCGGTCTGAATCGGTCTGGTCGGACCACCAGCCTGCTGTGGCCGGGCGGTCGGCCGCTGGCTCGGCCAACGGGCCTGCTAAGGCTACGGGTGCGGCCGCTGCTGGGACTGGGCGTGGCATGGCTGCTGCAAGCCTTGCTGAGCAGCACGGGGTACGGCCGGACTCTTGCTGGCACGACTGGCGTGCGACTGGACGTGACTTGGGGCGCTAGCGTGCGACTGGCGCATCGCCGCTCTGACACTGGGCACTGGCATGCTTATCGTGCGCACTGACTGGTGCTACTGGACATGCGAGATGGTGGCTGGCGCTGCCAAACACTATGTGCGTTGGCACTTGCGCTACTGAACGCTTTCGGGCGCTACCGCGCACCGCGACAAGCGACTGAATACAAGAACGTGCGCATGGGCGCTGACTGGCGTGACGGGGTACCGCGCGGGCGCTGCGGTGTGGCTCTCGCGGTACTGGCCACTCGGGCGTGCTGTTGGGCACTGCCTGTGGCCGACTGGCCTGCGGACATGCGCACGGGCGTGCTCTACTGCACACTGGCGTGCACGACTGTTTGTTGGCATGCACTATGTGCTGCCAACCGATGACTGACTGCGAACAGGGGACACGCGAGATGCCCAATTGGGCGTATCAGCACGTCACCCGCATAGCGTGCTTGACTGCCGGCGTGCACTACCCGCTACGTGCGGGCTTGGCGACCACGACCGATCTTTACCGGTTGTCCAGCAACTTCTTCCGGCAACTAAAACATAATTCAACATGATTTACAATAACATGATCAAATATACTGAACTTTACTCAAAATCATGAATTTCGGCTAGAAGAAATACGAGGGCCGGTGTCATGCGCACCATGCGCCGCCTACGGCTTTAAGCCGATTATTCGACCGGACATGAAATTTTCTCGACAAACATGAATTAACTGAATATAAAATGACATATAACGATCAAATAGACATGAATTGCTTGGGAGTTTCAGAATAAAAACAAACATCGCTCGACATGGCTTAGTTCGTACGCCCGATGGACTTAGACATAAGATTTGAAATTATGGTGAATATACTAACATCAAATTAACATCAAGAAGGAATTACCTCCTTAATAGCTCGAACGATAGTACGTGACTTCCGTGATTTCTGGTGACCGTGCGAAACTTGAACTCCTTGCGTGCGTGTGTTAATTTGGAACTTACGTGCAAAATCTCCTAAAAATTGGCTTAACCACTCTTCTATCTCACTTAATATATATGCTGAAAGTGTTAGGAAAATTATCCCAACTCTTACACATAAATAAGGTAAGAGACGGTAGAAACATGAGGGAAAAATTATGGCCAATTATCACCCAACACTTGTCGTGAAATGGAGAGTTTTTGTGGCTTAGTCATGTACCAACTTGATTAGTCATCACTTAGAGCTTAATTAAGTGCCATAAAGGCTAGTAAATAATGGGTGAGTTACACGTGCACCTTGCCTCATAACATGATAAGCTCACATTAATCTATCCTCAAAACCTACTGACACTTAATAGCTTAATGCATGGTTAAAGTGCTTAATTAAGTACAATTAACGTGCTTAATTATTTAATCATGCATAATTAATTGAACACTTAAAATTGTTCTGAGCATAAACATGACTTCAAAAATAATTTCGAAGAATCTTGACTTGAATAATTAGTCCCGAATGATAATAATCGATAAAATAATTATTTCGGAACTAAACGCGTAATTTACCTTAATAACAGGCTGTTACATGATGACTTAAACCGAGTATCTTATCGATTATAAGTCGAACTTTAACTGAAACTTGATAATTGGCGTGAACTCGACTTTTGACAATTAATCGAATATTAATATGTCAACATTAGAATAATTTATCCGACTCGCTGATGTCCATTTATTTAAATAAATGGACTAAGGTTAACTTTTATCATTGACTCGGTTAATAAATAATATTAACCGGATATACTTTCGACTTAACATCGAACTTGGAACTTAATTAGCTGAATAACTTTGACTTGAACATTGACATGAGTATTTATTAACAAAAGCTAGCTTATATTCGAAATCTAGTATTTTCTTTATTAATACAATTCGGGGCGTTACAATGTTGATTCTTGCTTGATTTTGTCGAAATTATTTTTCGACCTCGGTGGAAGGTCGAGTATATTCATTATCGCTCGAGCAGGTTGATGTTGATTTTTTCTTGATTTCAGCGAAATTGTATTTTGACCTCGGTGGAAGGTCGAGTATATTCATTATCGCTCGAGCAGGTTGATTGCGTTTTATTTGATTATGCTTCTGTCGAATTGATTTTTCGACTCCAAAGCAGGGAGATGAAATTCATTGCGGCTCAAGCAGGTCGATCGCATTTTATTTTGATTATGAGTCCGTCAAATTTATTTTTCGACCTCAGTGGCGGGTCGAGTACGTTTTTATTGCTCGAGCAGGTTGGTGGTTGATTTATTTTTCAAAGAAATATACAACATGCTTGAATTTTAAACTTTGAATTGAGGGGCGATAGGACGAAGTGGTATAAGGGAACTCGAACATGGTGATCGAAACACAACAGACGTAAATTCAAAACTTTCAAATTCAAGACTTCGGTCAATGGTCTCTTGACTTTTGGTTTTTTACCTCAACGGTCCCGACTCTCGGTTTTTGACCTCAATGGTCTCGACTCTCGGTTTTTGGTTTTCGACCTCAACGGTCTCTCGATTCTCGATTTGGAGCTTTCGACTTCAACAGTCTCTCGACTCTTGGTTCTCAGTTTTCGACCTCAGCGGTCTCGACTCTCGGTTTTCGACCTCAACGGTCTCGACTCTCAGTTTTCGACCTCAACAGTCTCGACTCTCGGTTTTTGACCTCAACGGTCTCCACTCTCAGTTTTCCACCACAACGGTCTCGACCTCAGCGGTCTCCACTCTCGGTTTTCGACCTCAACGGTCTCGACTCTTAGTTTTCGATTTTCGATCTCAACGGTCTCTCGATTCTCGATTCGGAGCTTTCGACCTCAACAGTCTCTCGACTCTTGGTTCTCGGTTTTTTACCTCAGTTGTCTCAACTCTCGATTTTCGACTTTGACGGTCTCCACTCTCGGTTTTCGACCTCAGCGGTCTCGACACTCGGTTCTCGACCTCAGCAGTCTCTACTCTTGGTTGTCGACCCCAACGGTCTTGACTCTCGATTCTCGACCTCAACGGTCTCGACTCTTGATTCTCGACCTCAACGGTCTCGACTCTCGGTTCTCAACCTCAGTGGTCTTTATTCTCAGTTTCTGACCTCAACGGTCTCGACTCTCAGTTTTTGACCTCAGCAGTCTCGACTCTCGATTCTCGACCTCAGCGGTCTCTACTCTCGGTTTTTGACCCCAACGGTCTCGACTCTCGATTCTCGACCTCAACAGTCTCGACTCTCGGTTCTCGACCTCAGTGGTCTCTACTCTCAGTTTTTGACCTCAATGGTCTCGACTCTCGGTTTTCGACCTCACCAGTCTCGACTCTTGGTTTTCGACCTCAACGGTCTCGACTCTCGGTTTTCGACCTCAACGGCCTCGACTCTCGGTTCTCGACCTCAACAGTCTCGATTCTCGGTTCTCGACCTCAACTGTCTCGACTCTTGGTTCTCGACCTCAATGGTCTCGACTCTTGGTTTTTGACCTCAGCGGTCTCCACTTTCGATTTTCGACTTCAGCAGTCTCCACTCTCGGTTTTCGACCTTAGCGGTCTCTTGAATCTCGGCTTTCAACCTCATTGACGATTACTCGATTTTTGGTTGTCGACCTCAGTGGTCTCTCGAATCTCGGCTTCTGGTGCTTGACCCCAGTGGTGGGTCACTTAACTTTCGACTTCTACAACCATTCGGTTTTCAGTGTTTGACTCCAGCGGCGAGTTTTTCTACTTCACTCGTGGATCGAGTTATGCTCACTCGACCAGAGTGGGGAGGACTAGATGATATAGCCACAGCTAGTACTGTCGGCTCGACCGGTAGTATCTGATATAGCATGTCATACCCGACCAGTTTTTATGGATATATATTGAAGAATACGCCCATACATGGGCTAAGACACTTGATATGATAATATGGGCAAAGCCAGACTTAGGCCAAGCCCAATTTGGAATATAAGGTACACTTCTCCTATAAAAGGGGGGCTAAGGTACTCATTTCCCACATCCTCTACTCACTCTACACTCTCTCTCTCTTTATGCCCTCTCATATGGATTCTGTACTGACTTAAGCATCGGAGGCCCAAAGCCGGGCACCCCTCCCGGGGTCCTTGGCTTTGGGTTCTTGCAGGTACGGTGGCCGTCCGAGTCGAGGGAGCCCGGGTTGACATCTTTGTCCCATCAGTATTGTAAAACATAATGTAAACATAATCTATAGTTATATCTATATCTATATAAAATGGTTGTTGGACAAATACATTTATAGTAAGTTTGACTAAAAATAAAATGTTGACTTCCTAATTTAGATAAGATGATTAAAATCACATGTGCTAATTAATTTTGGCAAATCAATTATTTGTTTCCGGATATTTGGATCCTTTTTTTAGGGGTTCAATTTTATTTATTTTTTTAAAAGCACATGCAAATTAGCTTTAAAAAATTCGAGATATCCAATATATATATACATATATATATATATATATATATATATATATATATATATATATATATAAAGGTTGTAAGTACTTAAAATATAACCTAAAATTCGGCCTAAAAGTTTAAAATTACTAAATTTGGTAATCTATTTGAAAATTTTAAAAAATTTCATCTCAAAATATTAGTTAATCAGTTTATGGTATAAAGTTGGTAAAATTAATAATTTTTTTTTTTGGTATAAAGTGAGCGATTTTATTTTAGGTATCTGATGACCATTTTTATTTTGGTATAAAATGTGTTGTTATTAATAAACTAGTACGTATTAAATGAGTTATTTTCATAGGTTTAGTCTGTTTATGTTTTATAAGCAATAGTGTTATCATCAATTTTTCACATCTTTTAATCAGCGTTAAGTCTAAAAAACAATAAGATTATAATATATTTTCCACCTCTTTTAATCAGCCTTGGTTTTTTAGCCAGAACATTAAATAGGAGCATGTTAGGGCTAGCCTATAAAATAATGGGTGAAAATCTTTTTCACCCCGTTATATATCTATTCTTTATTTTACACACCACCCCGTCAAATAACTTCTTTTACACCCCAAA